AAGCCGGAGATCCTCCCATTGTATGACCCTCGAAGAGAATTTTAGGAACACAAGGGAGATCACCCAGCGAATGCAACACTGATATTTCACGGTAAATTTGAGAGATCTTAGTGTTTTTGTAAACTTCAATCTTCAGACAAAAAAATGATCGATATGGTAAGTTTATTATACACAATATGAGACATTCTTGGGAATTATTTTACCTTCAAAACGGCATCCTTTATTCCATAATCACGTACTTGTGCCAAAAAAACTGTACACTCTCTTCCAGTTCCAAGGTGAGACGTGATCTGCACATGGATACAATTTCCAGAGCTTAATCTGATATCGATACCTTCTTCAATGAAAGAAGCCAAGAGATTTTTAGAAGAAATTGATGACTTAAACGTTTCATCGTTATTTGGAGATTCTTTTTTTTCGCCAGAAGCTCTCATCGACAGGTCATTATGGTAACGATTAATTAGGCCAGCAATAAGTGAGGCTGTGCGTTTACTCCATTCATAGTTGAGACTTTCCTCAAACTTCACTTTTAGGTCATTAACATCATCTAACATAAGTTGGATTTTCACGAATTGCCAAAGCTTCCCATCCGTCAAACATCCATAGAAAATGCTTGTTAAAGGTGGATCCGCTGAAAGGTATGCCCTGGCGTATTTTATTAGTTGGCCTTTCCCTTCGCTTGCTTTTGACTTATCATTTAAATTATTCTTGACTTCCCAACCCAAACCCTTTGATAAATCAGGTGGGTTTTTTGTCAATTTTGCGTAGAAACCGACAGGATCAATTATGATATCAGGAAAAACTTCATCTTCTATCCGGCCGCCATTATCTCCAACTACAAGTAAGTCATTTCTTTCTACCTGATTTACGATTTCACTCACAACATTCTTACAAAATGGTTGGTTTACATTAATTTCACTTAATCCTTGAGCAGGAGCATTACGATATTGATTAAATACATCGTTTACAGCCTCTTCTAGTGGTGTGATATCCTCCTCAATTTTCCAAAGTTGGACGTCTCCACGTTCTCTCACATGTCTGTACACAGAGGCAGAATTTCTTGTATTGGCTAACTCAAGATAGAATATATGATATTTCAAATCCCTATTTTCCTTGATATATTGTTCTGAATAAAATGGAAAATAGTCATACACACGTTAAAAAGTGACGGCGAAAAAGCATTATGTTCACTCGCACTGACCAAATTTATTACAGCTTACTTACCAGAGGCAACGGGTTGCTCTACGATAACGCGAATGTGTTTTTTGGGCGGGTTTAACGATAAGGAGCAGGAAAGAAAAGCACAAGAATAAGTAAGTATTCGGTATTATTGGCGAATATTGACACAGTTTGGGCGAGAATAAGTTCGCTTACCTCCTTGAATTTCTTTGATCAACTTAACAATTTTTTTTGCGGGTCCAAGAGGTATTTGAATATTCAAATCCTCTAGTGTTAAATCAAGGATTGTTGAACCATCAACTTCTTGAACAGTTAAGGTATCTATGTGATTATCGATGCCGTTTAACCTCCTTTTCAAAAAACCATTAAGTTCTTCGGCATTAAATCCTCTCACTTCCTCGACCGTCGGAAGATCAGATGAAGGAATAACAGGAACACTAGCGGAGGAACCTGCAACGTTAAATGACATAGCTTCAGCGATTAAAAAAGTAATGAAAGGGTAGTACGAATGAGAAATCTATTGTCGCACAGATTTATTTGTGATTGACTCATAATTTTATTTCTACCATCACGTGGTCATCTTATTTTATTCTTAACATGAAAAATTTTAACGCAACTCAAACACGACCCCAACCTCGGATCTTTTTCATATAATTATATAGGAAAAAAGTTTATCGTGACTTCATCGCACCTTCATCGTATCTTCATTACATCTATTATAAGAACGTAAAAGGAAAATTAGACACAATGTGTACCTCGGACGTAATGTTTAATGACCCACCATTTAAGTATAATTAGGTTGCACAAATAACATGTATACTTTGGTTAAAAATTTGTACAAAATGAGTTTGGATTTTTTCCCATTCTTCCCATAAGATCATCGAGCCATACAGTACTTAAACCGCTTTTTAGTATACCACGACGCGATAACTCTTCACCAACCAGCCTATCCCGATCTGTTAAAAATTTATGATATTTTCTGGTATCTTCATTCCTTTTTATTCCTCCACAATAGAATCGTATATCTCTCTCCAAATCACCACGGAAGCATCCCATGCTCCACCTTTTTTTCTCAGCCTCTGTAATAACCGAAAATTTCTCGGGATCTATTCCATGTTCGATGGCATACTGATAAAGGCGATTTTTGTTTGGATGAGTTGGTGAACGAGGTTCTGTTTCTCGAGGTTTGTTCGACACACTTTCCGGCAAACTTTGTACAGCAATTATAACTTTCTTTTGATCGATACGAAAAGGGCAATTGAGATAATAGTGATCATTTTTACCTAGACAGCTCCAGTCACCCCATATTCCTAAACGAGTATGTACTTCTTTGCATATCGGACATTCAGCTTTCAAGTTAGTATATTTAAATACATCTCGATGCCATGCGTTTGAATTAGTATATATCAAGAAAGGGAAGCGTTTATGTACTGTTTCATGGATTATACCTTTCTCTTCTGGAAACTTAGAAATCTTGATAATAGAGTCTCGTGAAAGATTATCAGTTTTTTCGATTTGTGGGGATTCATGAGTTTCAGAATTTATCCAGGGATCGAGTCCAGTCTCTTCCATATATGCTTTATATAATCTAGAACGAATTTTATCTGTCTGAGAACTTGGTAAATCAACTAAATTAGCATGCCATTTGCAATAGTCATTAGTTAATATCTTGCTGGAGGTAGTATCAGAAGACATGTTATCGTTTTATATTAAAGCAAGTCAATTCAAAATCACATAGCTGTCAAGAAAAAAATATCACTATCCACTTGTCCAGGTTTGTGTAATTATTTACTTTTGATATACTGTATATACTCCATTGATATGGGAGAAAGTACACTTCGTGTATTAGTAGAGGTAGCATGGTTTATGCCGTGACCTCAATTTCATGCTTTCCACATTTAACAAAATAAGATCCAGCTTCATATCTACCTCTTATACTTTTCTCATCCTTATGACTTATCTTACACGCTGGACATAATGACTTATCAATAATTCCATAATAATCAAATTTTTTACTACTAAATTCTTTATATATATCAGGATATCGACCTAATATTTTATTACGAAAATAATCACGATCATGAGTCTGTTTCTCGGGTAAGGCTTTCTCAGTAATGGATTCTGAGGCGGATGGTATACATACCTTGGTCTCTGGTAAAGATTTGAAATCCTCAGTTGAGATCACATGATTTTGATCGTTTCCCTGGGAAACGGTTTTTGAGGTTACTTGATTTATAATGTTTTGAATTTGTGTATTGGTTAATTTTGCGATATCATTTGCAGTGCAGGTAACATACTTAACTTTATCAATTCCAACACCATTTTCTCCAAATAGCTTACGAATTTTTCTGGCCCTAAGAGTCTTAATTCGCAAGGCAACTGATGTAACACCTGGTAAATGTTCTAACATCTCTTTGTATATTTGGGTTCTTGCAGTTTTATCGCTAACTCCTGTCTTATGTCGAATTTCGATAACTTTATTCTCAAAATTATCTGAATAGCGAATCCAGGATAAAATTTCTTCATGTCCAGATCGTATAGCTTTTCTAAACAAATTGATTAAGCTTTGTGTTGTGATTTTGCCGGAGGGAGGCTAGATGATGATTTTTCATGACTCAAAGAGTCTGGGCTCTGCCCATTATCCACGATATCTTCGGGAGGTGTTTCTATAGGATCAGGTGTAACAATAAGCATACTATTCCGTAAATCTCGTATTAAATCTAATTCTATATTTTGATTTTTAGTAAGCTCAATTTCATCAGAATCGTCAAGATCCTCCGCTGGTAAAGAAGTATTCGTGATTGTTTTTTGCTGATCGTTTCCCTGGGAAACGGTTTTTATATCACATAATGAATTATTATTGCCTTGCAATGAGGCTACACCTCTATCCGAAGATAAGTTTTGATCTCGAAGTTTTTTCTTCCTAACTCTCTCCATTATCTCTTGACTAACCTGTTCCTTATACCGCAAATTCAGAAATTCATTTTCTTCCTTCTCTTCCAATGATATGGTTTCTGCGGGAGATGTGGGGGTTACCGGATTCTGACATATATCAGAATTGCCGGAGGCAGTCACAGAGTGGCTATATGTGTTAGACTCCTCATTACGTGAGATTATCTGTTCATGAGTATCGTTAGAATTTACTGGAGAGTGCGAAACATCCGTAGAAATACTTTTTTCTCCCTGTTCTAATATAGCGAGTCTATTCTCAAGCTCTATATTCTTTTGCTCTAGTTCCCCAACTCTAGCATCACGTTTACTATTCTCATCAATAACCTGCCTCAGCTTCGCGTTCTCAACCTCAAGTTCAGCATTCTTGCCCTCGATCTTAGCAAACTTCTTCCTAAGTTCGGCTATCTCAGACAAGAGCCTTGAATTTAATTCTTTCAATGAAGAGACGGAGTCTCGAGTTTTTAACTCATCGGTTTTGTATTGTGTGTTTGCCATTTTTAAAATAAAATACAGATATATTCAAAAGTGAATTTATAAAAAATTATCATATGATAACATCACACAAAATTAATTCTCAAAAAAATGACCATTTAGGTTTGATTGTTTTATTAATACAATATAGCGGAGCTGATATCTAGGATATCTAAAATACATATGAGACGATCTCACGAAGTGAGGATATTACCATATCTAAACTATCCACCCGTTATTTTTTAATTTTCTCTTGTACACGTCGCTTCTTGGTTTCGGGTTCATCACATGCGGAAACCCTATCATTCAATAGACCCACAATTATACCGATCACCTGTTTTATATCTTCCCTCAGATTTTCCTGATTTCCCTTAAGCGCTTTTTTCGTAAGATTTATTTGATATTCACTATTGCTTGTACAAAAAATACCTTCGGAAGTGAACAT